TGCTTGTGGATTAGACAGCAAGGATTTCCAACTTCTCTATTTAGAGAGCAGTAATGAATTTCAGGAAAAACAGTGACTGCTTCAAATCTTGAGAAATTACCTGGTGGTTTGATTATGGAGGAAAAGCTAAAGGAGGAGGTGGAGGAACTGATTTCGACGGCGAAACGAGTTGAGTCAGCGGTTGCAGAGGCCAACTCGTTCAAGGTGGATTGCCACTCGGTTGTAGGGTTAGTGCGTTGGTTGAGGCAGTGGCTTCAATATTTGGTCAAGCGCATCTCCTCTGCCCCTGCACAGGCCCTGTACGACCGGCCGATTGTCCGCATCGTCGCTGAAGTCTCCAAGAGCCTCGAGCGTGCCCTGACCCTGGTCGGAAAGTGCAAGCGCCGGACTCTATTTCCCCGGTTCGTCGGCGTCAACTGTAGAACTGATTTTGGCAGGATCTTTACTCTTCTACAATCATCAATCGCCGACCTGAAGTGGTTGCTGAGCCTCATCGACCTCGACCATGGCTGCGTCGCCGGAGGAGGGTTTATGTCTGTGCCTCCACTCGCAATAAACGACCCGGTTATCTCATGGGTCTGGTCCTTCATCGCCACCGTCAAAATGGGTAAATTAATGGATTGCATCGACGCTGCCAACAATCTCACTTTTCTCGCCGAAGGGAATGAAAGAAACAAGAGAATCATCATCGAAGAAGGGGGAATCCCTCCTCTGCTAAAGCTTCTGAAGAACTCCTCGCCTGACGCGCAAATCGCGGCGGTTAATTCGCTTTATGTTTTAGCAGATAATGAAGAGAGAGTGAAGACTATTGTGGAACAAAAAGGAGTTCCACTAATTGCTCAACTATTCAGGGCTTCCCCCCTGAGGGTTCAGACGCCAGTGGTGAATCTGATGGCGAGAATGGCGGAGAAGGATCCCAAGGTCCAGGAGGCTTTCTACAATGAGCAGGTGATTTTACCACTCTTGAAATTGCTTTCTTTGGACATAGTTTCCGATGAACTCGTCACAAACGGGCGCGTGCAGAAACAGAGCATTCACTCTGTTCTTGAGATGAAAAAGGAAATCCACAAACACAATTCGATCGCACCCAATTCGGAGATCCATAGTCGGTACAGGAACTTGTGCTTAAATTGGTACTTCGAGGGATGCAATCGGGCGAAAATGCAGAAGGAAGAGTGGGAGAAGGAGAAACCGGAGGTCAGAAAAGAGCTAAAGACTAATTGTTCGAAGGCTCTATGGATGCTTTCTCATAAAAGTGTTTCAATTTGCAAAAAGATAGCAGAGAGGAACGGATTCATGTACTTAGCGAAGTTGATGGAGAAGGAACCGGATGAATTGCAGTTCAATTGCTTGATGACCGTAATGGAGATTGCGGCCACCGCTCAAACTGACCCCAATTTCAGACACTCGGTGTTTAAGATTAATTCTCCAGGTGTAAGAGCCGTAGTGGATCAGCTCTTGAGGGTGATCAAAGAATCGGGTACCCCTAAATTTCAGATTCCGGCAATCAAATCGATCGGTTACCTGGCGAGGATTTTTCCGGCAAAAGAGACTCAAGTGATTGATTCCCTTGTGGCGCAGCTTTTCAGTAAATGCCATGATGTGGCGGAGGAAGCAGCAATCGCTTTGAAGAAATTTGTCTGTCCGGACAATTATCTCTGGAAGGAGCACAGAAATTCAATAATCAAACTAAACGGTAGGGCAGCACTGAGGCTGTTGATAGAAAAAGCGAGTCATGAGGAGAGAGATCTTCACAGCTACCTTAATAACACCACCAGCCGCGAGGCACTGAAACAAGCCGGCCTGTCGACTGCGGCAGAAAATAAGACGAACCGCGAGAGGCTTCAGCGGCGGGGGGAAAGACCGTTGACGAATTGTCAGCCGTACCCCTTAAATCCATTTTGCCATTTAGTTGTTATTTTCAGGGATAAGGATGGAGCCGCTTCCATATATGAAAAAATTAATATTGGTGTTACCTGGACTTGCATGGCATGGGCTCCGTAGCGAAATGTATAATTGGGCATAGTGTGCTCCCTTATCTTTGGGAGGAATGTAAATTATGTAATCACTCTAAACTTTAATGAAGGGATGTTGTTTGAGGTTGCACTCTGCAGTTCCTGACTTTTCAGGAATGTCCTAGGTTTCAACTTGCACTTAGAAACTGAGAGGTTGCTTTGGTAAAAAAGAAAATTATTTTGGGTCGGATCAACTTAATGTTTATCTTTTATAAATTAACAGAGCTAACACTAAACGCAGAGAAAATGTCTAAAGAATCAAACCACAAGCTAGCAAAGGTACGAATTAATGAAGCTATCCTTCAAATTGAAAATGGGTATATTAAAGTTCATTGAATTAGACAAATAACGTTGTAAAATTACTCCTCTATTCACAGTAGTTTACGTAGATTACTTGAGTGTTGAGACAAATTTAGTAATTAATTTCAGAAGAAATGAACAGATATTAAGTTGCTTGAGACATTCAAAGTTAAAAACAACAACACTGGTTGTGTTGAAATGAACACTGCAAATTCTTACCTTTCAGAAGTGTATTACTGGAATGCTGCTCATCCCAGTCCTCATGGTGGCTACCCCTGCAGAAAAATTAATCGTTTAATAATTCAAATTCCAAACCAAATTCATTACGTTAATAAGGAAAACAATAACTAGTTAGAAAACATAAAAGCATCTCTATCAATCACGGGCCAATCCTAATTTCTGGACATCGGCTACCTGGGTAACAAACGTTTTTGTCAAACTTGCGTTTTGAAACGTATAATCTAACGATTTTGCGATTGTAGGTCTCTATTTCGAGTTGAAAGGTATGTCGACACTACTTTATGTAAAGATCGGTGCTGAATCGCGATTTGAAACGCAAAAATGTTTGAAACGAACGATTTTGGCGTTTTTGGCGATTTGCAAGGAAATCCAAATCTTACGGTCAATTTTGTAATTTTCTTTAAGATCAATATTAGAATCAACATAGGAAACCAACTACAGCCCTAATTTGTGAAATTGAACTGTATAAAAGGGAAAGATCACTGCAAAACTAACCTCCACATCTGTCTTCTCTAGCTCTAGTGA